AAATATATTTTTATTGATGTCAGAGAAGAAGGAAGGGAGAGGGAGAGAGAGAGAAACATCAGTGATGAGAGAGAATCATGGACCGGCTGCCCCCTGCAGGCCCCACACTGGGGATGGAGCCTGCAACCCGGGCCTGTGCCCTGACCGGATCGAACCCTGACCTCCTGGTTCACAGGTGGATGCTCAGCCACAGAGCACACCGGTTGGACTTGCCCTCCTTGTGTAGAGGAGCACGTGCTAAAGCGGGGCCTGGGCTAAGGGCGGGGCCTGGGCTAAGGGCGGGGCCTGCGCTAAGGGCGGGGCCTGCGCCAAGGGCGGGGCCTGCGCCAAGGGCGGGGAAGGGAAGGTGTGTCCCTCCCGCTCCTGCTGCCTCGGTCTGAAGGCCCGGCCTCCTGCCAGCCCAGACCGTTTGCTCATGGACAGTGCAGAGCTGGGAGGTCACCAGCAGGCTCCGTCCCTTCCTTCCAGAGCACATTTCTGCCCCACCTGCCCCTGCCCCCGCAGCACACCTGCTTCCATCCACACCCCGCGCCCAAGTCAAGCCAACCCGCCCCGCCTTCCTCCTAGAACCCTCGGGGACCATGAGCGCCTCCAGGCTCTACACCTTGGTGCTGGTGCTGCAGCCTCAGCGAGTGCTCCTGGGCATGAAGAAGCGGGGCTTCGGGGCCGGCCGCTGGAATGGCTTCGGGGGCAAAGTTCACGAAGGAGAGACCATCGAGGATGGGGCCAAGAGGTGAGGGAGGCGTGGGCCTGACCGCAGGCCCAGCTTCGGCAGGGGATGCAGATTCCAGCTGTAGAGCCAGACCCTTGGTTTCACCCTTTTGAGCCATGTGACCTGGAGCAGGTGCTTAACCCTTGAGCCTCAGGGTCTTCATCTGCAAAATGGGAGTAACAACAGGCCCTGGCCAGTGCGGCTCAGTTGGTGGAGTGTCGTCCGGTGCACGACAAGGTTGCCAGTTCCATCCCCGGTCAGGGCACGTGCCCAGGTCGCAGGTTCTGTCCCCCGAGGGTGGTACTGGAGGTAACCAGTCGATGTTTCTCTCACATCAATGTTTCTCTCTCTCCCTCCCCCCTCCCTTCCTCTCTAATATCAATAAAAACATTTAATAAAAATTTTTAAAGATAACAGTACTGCCCTAACCGGTTTGGCTCAGTGGATAGAGCGTCGGCCTGCGGACTGAAGGGTCCCAGGTTCGGTTCCGGTCAAGGGCATGTGCCTTGGTTGCGGGCATATCCCCAGTGGGGGTTGTGCAGGAGGCAGCTGATCGATGTTTCTCTCTCATCGATGTTTCTAACTCTCTATCCCTCTCCCGTCCTCTCTGTAAAAAATCAATAAAATATATATGTATATATATTTTAGAAAAAAAAAGATAACAGTACCTACCCCTTAGGATGGTTGTGAAGACGAGGGCTGCACATAAAGGATTGGGGCTGCCACGCACTAAGCACTGAGTACCCGTTACTGAGTACCCGTTAGCTGCTTCGGGGGTGGGGTGGATTTTGGGTCTCAGCTGGGAAGCTGTTGTGCTTGGGGCTGCTCTGGTATGTGGGCTGATACCTCACTGAGGTGTTAATTGTTCGCTGTCACCGGGTCACCCCAGGAGCTGTAGCTTTGCCGGGAGGGGATACTGGCGTTTCTCACACTGCCCTGAACTCGGGAAGGTTCGCCAGTTAGTCAGAATGTTGACTCAGGAGGTGCAGGTTTCAAAGACGAGATCGGCCAGCTGCTGCCAGAGGAGAGGCGGTGGCCGCTGAGCTCCTGAGCCTGAATAAATTACAGCTGAAATAGCCTCCAGAGGTCAGGGTGATCGCGGGATTAGGCCATTTAACCCAATGTGTTTGAGTCCTCGGTAGAGGCACGGAAAGTAACTATCATGCTGCTGAGACCGCCTGGAGAGGAAGCTAAAGAAACTTTACCTACAAGGACAAATGGCAGACATAACTAGAACGTCTTTATAGAAACAAATAAATACAGGGCCGTGGGGGAGGGGGATCGCTAAATGGAGCTCAGACTCCCAGTTCCAGGGCTGCAGTGGCAGCCCGAGTCCCAGCACAGATCCAGGCCCTGGGCTGCCGGTGACGGGCCGCCAAGCCATGGAGCCGCGCTGCGCAGCTTGTCGGGGGGATCAGCGGTGCGGTGTATCGGGGCTCGGGGCTCAGGGCTCAGGCCAGGGGCTTCGTGATGAGCAGGTGGAAACCCTGTTCCTCTGTTAGCAGCGGTGGAGAAACCGGTTGAAGTCCTTGAGGCCGAGCCGCTCTGCTGCGTGTAAAGCGGGGACACGGTGTGACGTCTGCAGCTCCTTGCAGGGTGTGGGGAGGAAAACGCTGACGGGTGCAAGGCTCCTTCTGGGTGAGGGGTCCCGGGCTGCTTGCCAGAGTGTCTGCCATCAGATGCAACTGCAAACACTGTAAAACGGGGCCTGCCCTGGCTGTGCTGGTGCCGGGCTGACCTTACCCACTCTGAGCAGCAGCTCTGAGAACAGGCCGGAGGGGGGAGCGAAGAGACAGGCCCAAAGCTCGACGCCCCGGGGGGTGAAGGGTCTCCTTGCTGGACCAGTTAAACAGCCGGGCATTGCCTGCAGTGGGACCCTGTGCTCAGCGTGGGAGGGAGAGAGGGACGGAGAGAGGGGGGGATGGTTCTTCTGGCCGAAAGGCTTCAGTTCAGGACCCAGGTTCCCGCAGCCTGCAGCCCCAGGGGAGCAGGAGCCGTGGACGGGTGGGGGTTCCCAGCTCTACCACCCTCCTCCCGTGAGACAGCCAAGCAGCTGACAGGCAGGCCTGGGCAGCCACAAGGTCCACAGCGAGTCTGCACCCAAACCAGTGGCCCGTCACTGCCCTGACCCCACCCCTCATGAGGTCCACACGACGCATTTCCCGTCCGTGGACAAACACTCTGGCCCTGGCTGGTGTGGCTCAGTGGATAGAGCATCTGCCTGCAGACGTAAGGGTCCCGAGTTTGATTCTGGTCAGAGCACAGGCCCGGGTTGTGGGCTCGATCCCCAGTGAGGGGCGTGCAGGAGGCAGCCGATTAGTGATTCTCATCATTGATGTTTCTCTCTCTCCCTCTCCCTTCCTCTCTGAAATCAATAAAAATATGTATTATTTTAAAAGAATTTAAATATTTAAAAAATTAATTAAAAAAAAAAACTCCGTCGCTCTTCGTCCCCCGGCACCATGCTGGGGGCTCTGAGGACCGGCTCCTGGCTCCAGCTGTCGCTTTCCCGTCCCATCCCCCCCACAGGGAGCTGCAGGAGGAGTGCGGGGTGACCGTGGACACGCTGCGCAAAGTGGGCCACATAACGTTTGAGTTCGTGGGGGAGCCCGAGCTGATGGACGTGCACATCTTCTGCACGGACAGCGTGCAGGGGACGCCCACGGAGAGTGAGGGTGAGTCCACGCCA